ACTATTGAGTAAGACGATACTCTTCATGGGTGCTACTATTGAGTAAGACGACACCCTTGATGGGTGCTACTATTGAGTAAGACGACACCCTTGATGGGTACTTCTATTGAGTAAGACGACACCCTTGATGGGTGAAACACGACACCCTTGATGGGTGCTACTATTGAGGAACACGAAACCCTTGGCGGGAGCGACTATGTTGAGAAAGACGACACCCTTGATGGGTGCTATTGAGAAAGACGACACCCTTGATGGGTGCTACAATTGAGAAAGACGACACCCTTGATGGGTGCTACAATTGAGAAAGACGACACCCTTGATGGGTGTTACTATTGAGCAAGATGACGCCCTTGATGGGTGCTACATGGCCAAGAAATTAATTCAACAGAATTATTAATGTATAAATTTGTAAAACCAGCAAGTTTTGTATTGAAGATAATAATTCAAATTTTCCAAGGAACCTTTCCGAACGGTTAATAAAACACAACCTAACCAAGCAACAGATGGGGAAAGTAATGAAAATCTGCCGCTTGGATATACAAAATTAATTGGATTTTTTTCCCCTAAGTACATACATTTTCCGGTGTCAGTAATGTACGATTTCCGTAGAATATTGATGTATTTGAATCGCCGGCAGCGCGCTCTGCGTTGATTGAAATGGAAATGACATTTAAATTAAAACGTGAAAATCCTAAAGGGTGAACTAAAAATTCACTGACGCGAAATTTAAGGATCAGAACCGTACAATCGGAAAACATTCAAATGATAAATTGAAGAAAATGGCTGTCAAACATTCGTCCGATATGTGAAGGGAAAAAATAAGCCGACAGATCACGGCCTACGGATTAAAACACGAATTTAAGCGATGGTTTACTGCCAAAGATATACTTGGAATCAACCGGCTGGCGAAGTATAGAAGAAACGGAAATACACGAAAGCTATACCCTTGAAATAACCGGAACGGCAAACTTAATATTAATGAACGGTGTTAAGCGATGTCATGGATTGTGTACATCTTGTTACATTTTTGTGTTGAAAAAATTGGAAATGATGGTTTTGGGAAACCCTTATTTTGTGTTAAATATTTATTTCACAACCCCACCCCACCCCAATCCCCAACGGGGCCCCACAAACAATAGTCTTAAAAAGCAGATAACAATGTGTATTGTTTTGAGCAGCAGATGGGTATTTTATTTTGGATCGCGAATCCATGATTTTCATAAGGTGTGTAATTTGTATTCACTGTTAATTTATTGCCTCGGGTGTAAATTATTATTAATTTGAGTTACGTCATTTCTTCTCAATATTTGCAATTAACGTATACTTAAGCAAAGTACGATGTTCGTGTTCGTGTCCCAGTGCGAACAAAGTTCGTGTTTGAAGTTCGAGTGCGAACAAAGTTACACGAGATCGAGTGCAAGAAAATTTGGACGAGTACGAGTAGGTGTTTGGGGTTGAGTACGAACAGTTACACGGGTATACGAGTTCGTGTTCGAGCTCAGAAGTGCGAATAAAGTTCGCGTTCGATCGAGTGCAAACAAAGTTACACGAGTACGAATTCGAGTACGAAAAATATATGGACCAGTACGAGAACGTGTTCATGGTTGAGTAAGAGTACGAACAAGTTACACGGGTACGAGTCTTCGTTGAAATTCGAAGACGACAAAAATGTTTTCTCCATTTTATTGTATTCGAATAAGAACTTTAAAACGATCGAATTCGTGTTCGAGTTCGAGTGCGAACAAAGTTCGTGTTTAAGCTCCAGTGCGAACAAAGTTACACGAGCACGAGTAAGAGTTCGTACCACCACCTTCTAACTTCAAGATTTTTGTGTGTGAAATATGGTGGGGCCATGTGTAGTATAAACTTATTTCGCCGTTTTGTGTTTCTTTTCAGAACCACTTGAATTTTTGTTGTCGTAGTTGTATGCTCAACACCTTCTGCTGGTCAGTTTTTGACTTGTTGACACATGTTGAGATTTTCCGTATGTAACAATGTCTTAAGTATGTTAGGGCCGTGTGTATAAATCAAACTATGAAATTTTAGTCATGTCCATACTGGGTTTTTTTCGTCGTTCTGCATTGATAATCATTGGGGGGGGAATAGGGTCACGTGTACACAACCTTATATTGCCGTTTTTTAGAGATTTCAGCCAAACCTTAATAATATGTCGTGTTTTCTTCTGTACCAATGTGATAGATTTTGTTACATAATTCTAAGGCCATGTGAACAAATCTTGCTTTGTCTTTGCAGAAATCCGATTAAATTCATTATGCAAAATTATTGTAGGGCCATGTGATGTGCAGATTCCTCCGTAATATGTAGGAATTTGTCAAATTGCCGGACGTGTATTTTCATGCATGAAAACTATATACTTGTCCCTTCATCCGCCTTGTGTATCATTGTGTAAAATACTTCGAGCAATGCGTTAACTTCCCATAGCTATTTCAAAGCTGGATCTAAGTTTTCTTGTATGCTCTGTGTATCCCTCAAACCTGTTGATTGTGATTCACTGAATGAAATATTCCCTAGGGACATGTTTACTGTTTAAGTCAACTATTTGGCTGCATTAATTTCCTCAATTGCAACGCAATGCCCATCCCTCTTACAACATCGATATTAAGTGTGCAACAAAGTGGTAAATATTGTAAGGGACGTGTGTGGATCTTACAGCTTACCTCAAACATGTATTGTGAAACTGAACGTTAAGCACAGTAATGGTTTATCCACAATAATTCCGCGAAATGATTTAGTCGCTGATCCTTTTGTGTCGACAGTAATGTCCTATTGACATAGATTATTGTCTGTGATTTGTTCTCGAGTCCAATCCGCAAGGATCGGCAACACCTGTGTTGTGTTAGGGCCATGTTGACAATGTAATCATGCGGGGTGATGACACCTGTTATAGGGCCATGGTGACAATGTTGCAGCTGATTACAGCGTCGTCCGAGTCTTAAGAGTAAAACAAAATGGATTCACTGATTGTTTTTGTATTTAAGTCCCACAAAACCAATGCAGGTTTTGATCGACATTAACCGTTCATTTCCGATAGGTCCGATCCGCAAAGATCGGCAAAGCTATTGTGTTAGGGCCATGGTGACAATGTTGCAGCTGATGACACCAAGTGTCGTCTGTTTCAAAATGGATTCTGTCGTCTGTCTCGTCTGAGTGTAAAGAGTAAAACAAAATGGATTCACTGATTTGTCGTTTTTTTTAAGGTCCTACAAAACCAATAGGGCTTTAATCGATAAGTCCCATCCGCAAAAACCTTGGCATCGCCTATCGAGTTATAGGGCCATGGTGACAATGTTGCAGCTGATTACAGCGTCGTCCGAGTCTTAAGAGTAAAACAAAATGGATTCACTGATTGTTTTTGATTTTTTACGTCCCACAAAACCAATACAGGTGTTGATCGACATTGATCTTTCAATTCCGATAAGTCCGATTCGCAAATATCGGCAAAGCCTATTGTGTTAGGGCCATGGTGACAATGTTGCAGCCGATGACACCAAGTGTCGTCTGTTTCTAAAGAGTATAACAAAATAGATGCACTGATTGTTTTTGTTTTTTAAGTCCCACAAAACCAATGCAGTTTTTGATCGACATTAACCGTTCATTTCTGATAAGTCGGATCCGCAAAGATCGGCAAAGCTATTGTGTTAGGGCCATGGTGACAATGTTGCAGCTGATGACGCCAAGTGTCGTCTGTTTCAAAATGGATTCACTGATTTTTTTTTTTTTGCGTCCCACAAAACCAATACAGGTGTTGATCGACATTGATCTTTCAATTACGATAAGTCCGATTCGCAAATATCGGCAAAGCCTATTGTGTTAGGGCCAATGTGACAATGTTGCAGCGGATGACATGAAGTGTCATCTGTTTCTTAACTGTAAAACAAAATGGATTCACTGATTGTTTTTGTTTTTAAATCCCACAAAACCAATACAGGTTTTGATCGACATTAACCGTTTATTTCTGATAAGTCGGATCCGCAAAGATCGGCAAAGCTATTGTGTTAGGGCCACGGTGACAATGTTGCAGCTGATGACACGAACAGTCGTCTGTTTCAAAATGGATTCACTGATTTTTTTGTTTTGTTTTTAAGTCCCACAAAACCAATACCGTACAGGTTTTGATCGACAGTGATCTTTCAATTCCGATAAGTCCGATCCGCAAATATCGGCAAAGCCTATTGTGTTAGGGTCATGGTGACAATGTTGCAGCTGATGACACGAAGTGTCGTCTGTTTCTAAACAGTAAAACAAAATGGATTCACTGATTGTTTTTGCTTTAAAGTCCCACAAAACCAATACAGGTTTTGATCGACCGTGATTGATCTTTCAATTTCGATAAGTCCGATCCGCAAATATCGGCAAAGCCTATTGTGTTAGGGCCATTGTGACAATGTTGCAGCTGATGACACCAAGTGTCGTCTGTTTCTAAAGAGTAAAACAAAATGGATTCACTGATTTTTGTTTTGTTTTTAATTCCCACAAAACCAATACAGGTTTTGATCGACAGTGATCTTTCAATTGCGATAAGTCCGATCCGCAAATATCGGCAACGCCTATTGTGTTAGGGTCATGGTGACAATGTTGCAGCTGAAGACACGAAGTGTCGTCTGTTTCAAATGGATTCCTGATTTTTTTTGTTTTTAAGTCCCACAAAACCAATACAGGTGTTGATCGACATTAATCTTTCAATTCCGATAAGTCCGATTCGCAAATATCGGCAAAGCCTATTGTGTTAGGGTCATGGTGACAGTGTTGCAGCTGATGACACCAAGTATCGTCTGTTTTTAAACAGTAAAACAAAATGGATTCACTGGTTGTTTTTGTTTTTAAGTCCCACAAAACCAATACAGGTTTTGATCGACATTGATCTTTCAAGTCCGATCCGCAAATATCGGCAACGTCTACTTTGTTGGGGCCGGCCGTGATGACAATGTTGCTAGGTCAGTGATGACACCAAGTGTCGTCTGAGATGCTAGAATTAAGCTACACTCTCTATGTAATAAGAGACTTGGCGACCAGTTGGCCGAGTAATGTATTTAGAATATAGTCCTAAACTTGTACCAAAGGTTGTCGGGTAAGAGCCACCAATTGGATTCCTTTTAAAGTCTGCATGTAGGGCAGGGAAGACGGGGATTTCCCTTTTTCTACTACGGTTGCACCCGGACCCATCACTTTGGAAAGGGCCACTAATTAGATTACATCCACCGTCTGTATACAGAAAGTCAGGCGGCCTTAGTTATCTTAATTGGCCAAATTCTAAATTTCCCCTTTTCTGTGCATTTTGTACAGTGGTCGGGTAAGGGCCACTACAGGAGACTTCACCTATAGTTAGACATAATATAGTTAGGCATATGGTTGTATCTTTCATTACAATGTATAGTGGTCAGGTAAGGACCACAAATCCCCTCGTTTCACCACAATAGGGCCTACCTGTCACTGATTTGACAAAGAAATCGCTGTTCATAGTCTTAATTGACCTAGCTCCGCTAGGGACACTTGTCTCCTTTTTCGTAAGTCCATTCTCAGTCCCTTGCAGTTAGATTATGAGGACAAGCCAGCCCGAGTGTTCCTGTCAGATGTGGAGGAACCGGAAGCAGGGAGGAGGAACAACTGATGACCGATGACCCTTGCATGCTGAGCTTTCCATTACAGCTTTCTTGGGTATAAACATTAACGATACTTTCCTCTCGAAAAATGTCTTAGGTTGTCCTAAGTGGTTCTGCTTGTTCTGTCCACGATTACCGATATCATATTTTTAAAAATGAGCTAAATCTTCAAGAATATTAATTTAAATTATTCATTTTAAGAGAATCATCACTTAACACTTTTCACAAATCAACAAATAGAAACAGAGCAAAACGCGCATAATTATCCCATTTTGCTTACATGTCTTACTTTTTATCTTCTGGCAGAGATGAGGGTCTACAACTTGTGCTGTCATTTTGGATGAAATTTTCAATCGATTCCGAATCCCAAGGAACCGGAAGCAGGGAGGAGGACCGACGGAAGGACTGATGACCTGCTTGCAGAGCAAGTCTTCACCAATTCTCGAGGTACTTGAAAAAGGGATTCAGATGTATTTTTTTCTCTTTCAATTTTCGTCTTTGTCTCCGGGCATTGGCACATCAGTTTTTGTTTTTTTAAGTATGACTTATCTACTTTACGTGCATCAATACGATAGTTGGTTGTGCTTCGACTGATTGTAAAAAAAAATAGAATACATTTTATTTTTTTCGTTCAATCTTTGCAGATCCCTCTTGCTTCGTGTAGGCAGCAGAAACGGTGACAACACGTACGGAGTGCAGTTGTTCACTAGGACTGGAATCAACACGAATTTTAGCAACACTCCACTATAAGTTTTACAACCCATGCACCTGAACACCAGCCCGTGCACCTGAACACCAGCCCGTGCACCTGAACACCAGCCCGTGCACCTGAACACCACCCCGTGCACCTGAACACCACCCCGTGCACCTGAACACCACCCCGTGCACCTGAACACCACCCCGTGCACCTGAACACCACCCCGTGCACCGGAACACCACCCCGTGCACCGGAACACCACCCCGTGCACCGGAACACCACCCCGTGCACCGGAACACCACCCCGTGCACCGGAACACCACCCCGTGCACCGGAACACCACCCCGTGCACCGGAACACCACCCCGTGCACCGGAACACCACCCCGTGCACCTGAACACCACCCCGTGCACCTGAACACCACCCCGTGCACCTGAACACCACCCCGTGCACCTGAACACCACCCCGTGCACCTGAACACCACCCCGTGCACCTGAACACCACCCCGTGCACCTGAACACCACCCCGTGCACCTGAACACCACCCCGTGCACCTGAACACCACCCCGTGCACCTGAACACCACCCCGTGCACCTGAACACCACCCCGGCCCGTGCACCTGAACACCACCCCGGCCCGTGCACCTGAACACCACCCCGGCCCGTGCACCTGAACACCACCCCGGCCCGTGCACCTGAACACCACCCCGTGCACCTGAACACCACCCCGTGCACCTGAACACCACCCCGTGCACCTGAACACCACCCCGTGCACCTGAACACCACCCCGTGCACCTGAACACCACCCCGTGCACCTGAACACCACCCCGTGCACCGGAACACCACCCCGTGCACCGGAACACCACCCCGTGCACCGGAACACCACCCCGTGCACCGGAACACCACCCCGTGCACCGGAACACCACCCCGTGCACCGGAACACCACCCCGTGCACCGGAACACCACCCCGTGCACCGGAACACCACCCCGTGCACCGGAACACCACCCCGTGCACCGGAACACCACCCCGTGCACCTGAACACCACCCCGTGCACCTGAACACCACCCCGTGCACCTGAACACCACCCCGTGCACCTGAACACCACCCCGTGCACCTGAACACCACCCCGTGCACCTGAACACCACCCCGTGCACCTGAACACCACCCCGTGCACCTGAACACCACCCCGTGCACCTGAACACCACCCCGTGCACCTGAACACCACCCCGTGCACCTGAACACCACCCCGTGCACCTGAACACCACCCCGGCCCGTGCACCTGAACACCACCCCGGCCCGTGCACCTGAACACCACCCCGGCCCGTGCACCTGAACACCACCCCGGCCCGTGCACCTGAACACCACCCCGGCCCGTGCACCTGAACACCACCCCGTGCACCTGAACACCACCCCGTGCACCTGAACACCACCCCGTGCACCTGAACACCACATCGTGCACCTGAACACCACCCCGTGCACCTGAACACCACCCCGTGCACCTGAACACCACCCCGTGCACCTGAACACCACCCCACCTTAACACCATCCCAACTGAACAACAACCCCATTAAAACAAGGAAGAAATTGAATAACCGATCGATCTTGCGAATTCTCTTTTCTTTGAATCCCTTTTAACGCAAGGTAGCCTAAACACCCGATCGCTGTAGATAAGATTTTAGAAAGATGCATGATTAACCAGTTGGACTATTGGCTGCATACCTTCATAAAACAATATGATCCCTATAGTTGCCATTCAGGATTTAAAGCGTTGAAACCTTTGCTCCGTCTTCAGCTTTGGCATTGTCTCCGACTTCTGAATCACTGAGAGGCAAACCAATCGAAGATAATCAAACAAAAATTTTGGCTTCATGTCAACTAATTATTGAATGTTCCTGAAGCACAAAATGCACCAAATTGTAGCTGGAATTTCAGAAGTGAGGGACCTAAAATATCATTAAGCCGAAGACAAAGCCATAGCCAGTCGTTTCGAAAACACTCTGTGAGCCTTGCGTTCAACCTAAAGCATTGTACACGATTTACAAACAAGCGTTTTCAGAGAATGCTTTCGAAATGTAATAGGTAGTGCATGTACTGTGTATAAAGATCTCAATAAAGCTTTGAATGTGTTAATCATGTAATCCTGCTGTTAACATTACAAAGCTGAATATGTCAAATTCTTTAATTAATAGGTTTAGGAGTCGCAGTTGTAGTGGTCGTTGTCAGTCTGTGGCAATGTTGCAATGTATTTATATAACAGTGATCTGCCATCTTCAATTTGAAATCTTTTTATGTAAGCAGTTGACTTCATCTTATGGATCTCCTTCAGTTAATGAAATAGAACTTGAAAACAGCTCTTGCCAGAATACACAATTGGTGGGTGTCACATCCCAGGGTTTGCCCACCCCATGAAATGGACATTTAGTTATAGTCACCATCCAATGAACACTGACACTCAGAGAAAACTAGGCCTTCACTCTTCTCTTTACAGTATTTATATTTATTTACAGACTTATCATACACACGATTTATATTCCTTATTGAATTCAGATTAAGGGGCAACTTCCAGTATTTAGTACAATCACAAATATTAGTTACAGCATAGAAAAGAAGTGTCCGAGTGTCTCTTGTTGTCTCGTGTCCAGCAAATGCTCTATGCTCGTAGCTTTCCCACTTGGCCAGCGGAGTCCACACGGTCCTCTGGTCCCGCCGCTGCGGTCCGGCCTCACTCCTCTGGTCACGGGGACGCAATCCCAAAACCAAGATTAAAAAGCCAGGAATTGAAGGACTCCTGGCTTATACACTGCTGAATTTTCTGGTTCGTGAACTCTCATTAGTTCAGACTCGGATCAATGAGCTCTCATTAGCTCTGCCGCAGGCTGGCTATGCATTGCCCTATCTCCCTTGGCTTCTAAGTCTCAAAAAACCACTTCGAGTCCGGCCACTACCCTCTACTCGGAATTTCTCTTAGCAAGTCCTTTCTCTTACATTTGCCCACGCTTGTATACCCAAAATGAAATTAGTCCTATGCATACATTAACATGATAAGTTTATTCTGTCCACTCAGGCTTCTCATTGCCTATTTAACATTCACATTGAGTATTACGTGAGCCCCATTGGCCAATAACAAACTAGGTGTGGTTTAATTATTTAAACGTCACAGGCTCAACAAAACATGGTTTGGCTAGCTCACCTATTCCCAGAATGTTGGGTATGAGAGCCTCAATACAAGTACATTGTGTTACCCTCTACATAAAACACATTCCAAATTCCAACTTCCAGTGTACTAGATTCAGGCCACATAAAAGTAAATGTTGTTTCTACAACTCCAATGTACTAGATTCAGGCCACATAAAAATAAACTTGTTTCTACAACCAATAAAGAGTAAATTCGTTTTATTAAAATAAAGTCACTCTGTGACAGTGGGTAAGAAACAATCTTACATCAAATGCCATTTTTTCCCTCAAAATAAATTTGTTAAAGTGGTCAGAAATTGCCTCAGATCGCACCCACAGAGCATCTAGAATAAAAAAAAAATCGAGGCCCTTCGTAATATTTGGACCCACTTTTTGTTAGACCAATTTGTTGGCTCCCCCCCCCCCCAAAAAAAAATGTGTTTTGGATCCGCCCTTGCTCCATATCACCCTCATCTCGTTCCCGGCCCTGCACCCACGTGATTCAAAATTGACGGCTGATGTTGTTGTTGTTGTTGTTTTTTAAATTTTCCAATGATAATTCTACTCACTGAGCAAAATTACTGGCAAGCAGTCTTGCACATTCGAGTATGCCATTGCTAAGGCGGCAACGGCGCAGAACATGGAGCCAGGGGTCCATTTTTATCCACTGTGGGAATCCCCAGCCCTCTCAGGTCCGGAAATAGTAAACTCTGGGCCCTATATCTTGGTAAACATAAAATGAAGTTCTCTGGCCTACTCTCTCTGGCCAGCTGGACACAACACTACCGAATGATCGCTTTCGATCATCGGCCTAGCAGCTGACGTAGCATAATTATGTAAACGGCGGAAACTAGGGCTAGGGTGTATCATTAACCGAAAAGTAAAACAAAGGGCGCCCGACTATTGATCAATGAGGTGCACCCCACCCATCCCCCACCCGCCTGACCCGCGTTTCGAATTTGCTGTGGGCCGGACCGTACCGCACCGGCGTAACTTGCCCAGATTGGGCATAACTACAGTGTTCATGGGTTGTCACGTCACCACCATGTACCGTTAGCTGTGACTTCTTCGTATGATGGCGGCGGGGGCTCGCCCGTTGCAGACGGTGCCTCGGACGGGATAGCAAGGCAGACGTCCTCGTAAGATGGCGGTGGGGGTTCGCATCTAGCACGGTTGCTGACTGGCTCTCGGGGAACTCCTCGAGGCGTGTTGTTGGTCCTCAAGGCTAGCACCGTCGGGAACGGGGCTGACGTCTCGGTGAAAGACGGCGGCGGGTCGCCGACGAAACCGGTGTTCATTTGAGCGCTATGGGAGGTGAGGAGGAGAAAAGAAGCAACTGAGGTTTTTTTTTTCCTAAGCCGGTTGGTGGCAGTACACACAACCTAACGGTAGTCTGGTTCCCTGACCCTATTAGACTTGAAAGAAGGGGTCTGGTAACTAGCGGTGAATCTGGCATACATTACCAGGAATTCCGGGTAATGAACGTGAACTATTATGCATGACTCACGTAGGTCTGGAACCCGCCTCGCCTCATGATATCTAAATCACAACGTTTACGTTTGTGCGCGCCGACCAAGCCTGTTGCAAAGTTACAATAGGTCTGCAGCTGGGCCCAATTTCACGGCGCTGCTAAGCACAAAAATTTGCTGAGCACAAAAAAGTCTGGCTTATGAAAGCAGTTTATCAGCCAAAACTCCATGTGATTTTCAGCTTAGCAAACAACAGCTGAATACTAATCACGAACAATATATATATCACATGGAGTTTTGGCTGGTAGTGGTAACCTAGCTGCTTTTATAAGCCAGACTTTTTGTGTGCTAAGCAAATTTTTGTGCTGAGCAGCGATGTGAAATTGGCCCAGCTGATCACGAGGGTGCAATTTTGGAGGTAATGAGCTT